AATTTATGGTCAACATAATGAGTGGCGGTCAAGCTGTGAGGATTCATGGTGCCCGACGCGGGTATTCTTTTTTAGTTTTCATTTTTGACGTTTTGGGACCCCTTTTTGCCATGTTTATGGTATTTTATGATTTCTTAGTGATTATTTATAATACTTATGAAATGATTGAATGAGTTCGATGTGGGATTGTGAAATATGGTATTATATTGATGGATTTTGATGATGGTTGTGAATTGTATGATGTCCAGTAATGACTATTGTATGGATAGATATAAATGGTGCGTATTTGGTTGAGTATATTTGAGTATGAATTGTTTGTATTTGGATGAGTGATTATACAACGTTTCAATCATTTTGAACTTTAACCATTGTAATAGAGGTATTCAACTTTATATATTTGATGTCAAATTTATTTTGCTAAAATTACTTTAAATTAGGTCTTTTGACATTATGTGCCTCTTTTGTACCTTCACCTGTGACGCCCATTGTTGAGACATTTTTTTTTACCTTTAGAAAATTGAAGACTTCTACCACATTAACACAAAACAGACAATGTTACAAAAAAAAACAATAACAATAGGGACTAAAAAAATTTATCTTAAACTATATGTACTAAAAAAGATTGAAAAAGATAAGTACAAGAATTAAAAAGGTCTATTTTAAACTATAAAAACTAAAAAGTAAAATAAGTGAAATTATAAGCATTAAAAAAGTATTTTAACCAAAGAAAATCATGGGAATGTATTAGATTATTTCAAATTCGTCAAACCTAAAGTAATGCCCAACTCTATGCTAATGTTCATCTTTATCACCATGATCCAATTAGGGGTGAGCATTAAACCGACACCCGAACCGAACACGAAAAATCCGAAAAAAATATTGTTTTTGGGTGGGTTCGGGCGGGTCTTATGGGTAAATCGGGTTAAAATTTTAATTTTATACAGGTTATATTGGGCGGGTTCGGTTTTGAATTTTTAAACCCGCTAAAAACCGAACCCAACCGAAAATGAGATAAGTTTAAATTTTTATTACTTTTGTATAACTAAACAACAATGGTCCAAACTTAAAAGTCTTTATTTCAAGTATAATATAGCCATCAATTTGTAACTTATTTTTTTCCTTTTTCTCATAACTTAGATATTTATTTTGTCTTCTCCTTCCTCATTCAACTTCTCAACACACTAGTCCATTTTTAGAGTTATCTTTTTGCTTCTTTCTTTGTCTTTCTTTTCCATCTTCTTATCTTCATTTTGAGTATATTTTGTGTGACTGTGATTTCTTATGGTTTTGTAATCTAACTTTATATTTCTTTTCCATGTAACAACTATGAATTTTGTTATCTTTTATTTTTGCTTCTTTAGTTTATAAATGTTTCAACTACGAATCTATTTACACCATCTATTGTCACCTTCATTCTATTTTTATACACTATTTTAAAAATATTTTTTTATCGTTTTAAGTTTCATCTTCGTTAAGATAAATTGGTCTACAAAAAAATTCAAACCCGATTATACCCACCCGCTTAAATCCGAATCCGTTTTAACCCGAACCGCCTCAAATCGAAAGTTCAGTCGGTCGGATATGGGTCACATTTTTTCAAAGCCGGTTTACAACGGGTTGGACATTTTTCACCCGAACCCGACCAAACCCACCCGTTGCTCACCCCTAGATCCAATGGTGATCTTTTATGACAAATAGTCACGAGATTCATTGATAATTGTCCTAGTTACTTCAAATTGCACACATTTTTAATAGACAATTTTCTTTCAAATTAGATCATTACATTACATGTCCTGTTTATTAAGTTTTTAGTATGTGTTTGAATTACCAAGTGTAGGATTTAATGGTTGCTAATTTCAAGATAAATGAAAGCCAATTTTTTTGCCAAGATTGTTAACCTCAAGACACCCATCACTGGGCGCCAATCACACCGCTGGCCGGTGAAGCTAATATAGGAGTTGGTGCAATGCTAAAGGGTTGCAAGGCGACCACTCAATGATTCATACTCAAATTCTCATGGTCCATAACTCGTAGGACAATTATTTTCTCGCAAGGCGCCTTCCTTAAGCCATTCCTCTTAGCTTAATTATTACCAAAGGAGTCTCATTTCATGAATGGATGTGAGTCTTTAGTATCTTGGAAAAGTAACACTTAATGCAAGTCACTTTGTTAAGTGATCAAGGGATTGACGGTTAATAAAGTGATTTAGTTCTTTTCTTCTAAGGGATTAGGATTAAAAAAATATTTACAATTGGATGTGATTTTGAAGTCCAAAGCCTAACCCTGCTCTGCTCCCATACAACGTATGATCATTGCAGTCCAAACACATGGAAACAACAAAGGGTAAGCTAGTGAAAAGAATCAGCATATAAAGCATATATAAGCAATATGAACAACTACAGCTATCAGCACATCATCGGCATAAATCTCATCAACTATACATCATAAATAGCAATAAGCACACAATGCGTCATCACGCATATCAACTCGGAGATCTCCTACAACAGCTTAGCCTTACGGCCTACAACAGCTCAGCCTTACGGCCTACAACAGTTTATATCAACATACAGCACAACACAGCTTAACAGCATACAACACAACACAACTTAACAACATACAGCACAACACAGTTTAACAACATACAACACAACAATATTATAATTCAGCATCATCAATATTCATCAATAACAGCTCAGCTCAGCATAAACAACATGTATCAGCATCTTACAACATCAAACAGCATATAGATAATCATCACCTTCGCGCCCGGCGCACTCCTGGTCACGCCCGGCACAAGCGTGCTCGCGCCCGGCGTGACTCAACCAGAGAGCTCAAGGCTCAAAATGCACCCAGCGCAATTCCAATTGCGCCCAGCATAAACCCAGGCACAGACTTCAAGAAGTCTCACTCGCCTGGCGTGCCCAAACCTACACCCGGCGCAGGGAAGGCAAAGATCGCAGAGACCTCCCCAAGGTCTTGCGCCCAGCGCCCCTAAGGCAGAGACTCCTAAGGAGTCCCCACGCCCAGCGCGACAATGGTCGCGCCCGGCGCAGCACCAGAGTACCCAAAACCTGTTACATACTGTCATCGCACCCGGTGCAGTCCATGTCACGCCCTGCGTGGGCCATCCAGAGGCTCCCATCCTCAAGCTTGCCCGGCGCACATACCTTTGCGCCCGGCGGGCTTGCTTGAATGGAGTCCTCTGATGGTCACGCGCTCGGCGCGACGAACTGCGCCCGGCGTGATACCCAGCAGCAACTTCACCAAGTTTGAAAGTTTGCTCAAAACTTGCAAAAATCAACAGAAACTCCACATGCAACCCATCCAAGGTACCACATTTTCATCAAACGTCTCAAAAATACAATCTTTTTCAACATGCATCCACTAAAAATCAAAAACCCAAATTTCACCCAAAAACCCCCGACCCTAAAAACCAATTTTCATCACACACAACCATCAATCTTTAAGAAATCAGCCACACGATGAGTTTAAGAACTCATCTCCAACAGAATTGGCTAAGAAAACTAGCTTCCCTTACCTCGGTGCAAGAATCCGAGCTTCCGGGAAGAAGAAAATGGAGAAGAAGACGAAGAAGAGCTCGAATGAATGAGGAAGGAGAAGAGAGAAATTCGCACACCAGCTAGCAACCCAAATTACTCAGCACCACCACCTTGTAACAACCAAAAGAAAGATCCAAGGGAGAATAGTGAATAATGAGAGTGAGTGAGAAAAGAGAGTCGGGGAGAGAAAAGGAAAAGGAAAAAGGGGGTCTCACAACCTCCCCAACAACAAGAGTTTTCGTCCCCGAAAATAGACTTACTTGGGAATAGAAACGGATACCGCTCCCTGCACTGCTGCTCCACCTCCAAGTAGCCTCACCAGTAGCTGCATCCCACAACACCTTCACCAGAGCAATGGACTTGCCCCTCAACTCCTTCAGCTTATGATCAACCACAGCTACTAGCAACTTCTCAAATGTCAGGTTCTCCTTCACCCGCACATCATCCAGCTCCACCACATGACTAGGGCCATGAACATACTTCCTCAGCTGGGATACATGAAATACATCGTGTAGGTTTGAAAGAGACGGAGGCAAAGCCAACTGATAAGCAACCGGACCCACACGCTATATTATCTGATAGGGACCAACAAACCTCGATGTCAACTTCCTTGCCTTCAGCGCTCTACCCACACCAGAAGTCAGGGTCACCTTCAGAAACACATGTTCCCCTTCAGCAAACTCCAAAGGCTTACGCCTTTTATCAGCATATGATTTCTGCCTACTCTGAGCAGCCTTCATCCTCACCTGAATCATCTTCACCTTCTCAGTAGTCTGTAGGATTAGCTCTGGTCCCACAACCACTGACTCACCATCTTGATACCAGCACAGAGGAGTCCTACATCTCCTGCCATACAAGGCTTCAAACGGCGCCATTTCACCGTTTGTGGGCTTTGCATCTGGATGATGGCTTTGCACTTCTCGGGGTTGGCCTCGATTCCTCTGCTGGTAATCATGAAGCCGAGGAACTTTCCTCCCTGGACACCAAAGACACATTTCTCCGGGTTGAGGCGCATGTTATGCTTCCTAACCTGGGCGAATACTTCGGCGAGATCGGTAGCATGCCCTCATTTATCCCTACCCTTTCCCCCCCTCATTTCACATGTCCACTCTTCCCTACAACCTTCCTCATACTTTAATTCCCACCAATTACCAAACCAAGGCCACAACTACACCATCCTGTGCACAATGTATATGTAGTTATCCCTTTCTTCTTAAGTCTCGACTGCCCAGGGACTTATACAGTAGACAAGGAAATATATCATTCCTCTATAAACAAAAGTCCAAGCTTTGACATAATGATACACCAATCCCCACATGGCCACATCACTCACTATATTCTGATTAAAAACATAACATCAACCAAAAGAGCAAAATGTAAACTTAAGGACTTTTCGAATAGGCAAAAATATACTTTTCGACCCTTATATTATTTATTAGATTCAATTTAGTCTCACTTTAATTAATTGAATTAATTTAGTCCCACATCTAAAAAATGTATCTCAATGTTTGATTTTCCGTCTCTTCCATTTAAATACTTAACGGATATGATACGTGTCATGCCACGTGTCATGCTAGCGTTCTAATGATGTGACACATGACATGACAGCATGACACGTGTCAAATTCGTTAAGTATTTGAACGGAAGAAACGGAAAATCAAACATTGAGATACATTTTAAAGATGTGGGACTAAATTGATTCAATTAATTAAAGTGGGACTAAATTGACACTAATAAATAATATAAGAGACGAAAAATGAATTTTTGCCTTTCTAATATAATTCTAAATTCCAAATAATTTTCATTAATTCAACTTCACATACCATTTTTTAACATAATTTGTGTTCATGCTACTAGATCACTGGTTAATAGAAAACAATTGACAAAAGCAAAATTCCAAGCCAGTAACAACCAACGACGATTTGACCCCACAAATTCTGTTTTATCCCTCTGAATGCTATATCTGAATTTATTGACATTATTGAGTTATAAGCAACCCGAATATAATGTTAAATGCACACCACCCATAAGTCAATGTCAAGAATTTTAACCTTGCCCATGTATCATTGATGTCATCAGTTGTGCGCCAACTGTTACCCACCTTGCCTGCCCACAAGGCAGGGTCATCAACACCCCTGCAAAATCAAAAGGAAAGTAGCAAGGTTTCTCTCAAGCAAACAGTAGCCAAGCTCAGATAACTAATTAAAAAACATGCCCTATTACCATTCACAGAGTGAATAGAATATTTTACGCCCAGTTGCATTGAGAGCATCACGCATAGGTGGGTATCTGGAATACAAGCAACCACATTGACTCAAATTCAATGTACTGGGTGCTGCAACTATTGCAATTACTGTGAGACAGATGAGAAAAAAACCGTTTTTTCGGAGGGATGCCCAGATTGTTACAGTTGTCATACTTCAAATAATCTACACCCTGGTAAAAGGATGAAAGGATGGGGGGAAAATTACTGAAAGTACAGAAAAATATAACTAGTTACCGTTCCAAGATAATGTTACCAAGATGAGACTACTTCTATAGTATAAAAAAAAGTCCCTCAACATAATAAAAAGAGTAACACTAACAACTATGTTTTATAGTTAAATTTATCAAGCAGTGAGACTAATTTTCTTTTATTACTTAATTGACTTCAGAAATTTTGGAGTTGTGCTCATGAGCTGTAATTCTAACAATCTAATTGTGCCATGGTAGACATAATATCTATGAAGGTATAGGTCATTGCTAAGTTATGTGAATACCATCTCTGCAAACAAATTTCAATCATATCAATGAATGAAAACTATTTGAACTTTAAGAGAATTCCATTAAATGGCACAATATCTTATCTCCTTGAAACATGAAGAGTATATGATACTGTTTTGCAAACTATAGAAATGAGATAATGGAATCTAACCCAAGAGGCAAATAAATCTGCATCATCAGTTTCATGGAAAATTGATCCTGGCCGGACTTGACATGTAAAAGCCCTAATAAGAGTGAGATATACAAAAAATATAGAACATGTGATTAGAAGATTGGTTAGTCACAATTAAAAGGGGTATCATTTATTTTAGAATGAACCGTTCAAACATCTGGCCGATTTTGCAGTATCATCCTACCCAGCATCAGAATATATGCCAAGCTTGAGTCCCTTTCCATGTACATAATCTGCTAGAGCTTTGATTCCTGATGGAAATGTCTTCTGATCAGGAACCAGTTGACCCTGGACTTCCACCCCCAAAACAATAAGTAGCAGCATATATTTACCAAAAGAATGTTAACGGAATTTTAAACTTTGCTACAAAACCATTTTCATATAGAAAATGGGTAGAGCATGTAGTTATGCCTTACTTCCAGAGCCACCAGGTGGTAGTCAAAACTGACTACCCCATCAAGAAAATTCTGCGAAAGCCTGAGCTCGTCAGACGCATGATCGCCTGGTCAGTAGAATTGTCTGAGTTCGGCATCCAGTACGA